ATTCGCTGCTCCGCAATGCACACGGTCCTTTGTGATGCGCAGCATATCGAGACCTCAACACGTGGGGTTTGGGGACTCAACAGGCATAACGAGCATCCAAATCAAGTCGGCGGATCAAGGGTAAATCACACTTTCCTCGTTTCTCACCTTCTTCTTCTTTTTCTTCTTCCTTACACGCCTTCTTCTTCAGCGCAGCCATCTCCTTTCCTGCTCGCGACCATTTTCTTCCCATTATCCTCCCACGCTCTATCTTGTTGGCCTCCCACTCGCCATCTTCTTTGCTGCAGGTGCAACCCTCGTGCCTGCTTTCACGTATCGCGCCCATTCTTTGAGCATCTGCGACGTGCGCCCCCGCTTCTTCTGCATGATCCTCCTCCTTTCCCCCACGCGTTCTCCCTCTTCCCTTCATATGATCCTTCTCTCCTTCTGCGCGATGCCTTCCTCCTTGTTTGCTCATGGCGCCCTACCTCATTTTCCCCCACTCTCTCCACTTCTTCTTTTTTTTCTTCTCCCCCACGCATCTCCTCCTCTTGTGCGACCATCTTTTTCCTTCACACCAGTTGTCTTCTCCCCTCGCGCCGACATCCATCTTTTTAGTCATTCGTGCGCTCGCCATCTCCCCAAGTGCGTCGTGGTCACACAGTCCGTCTTGGCCACGAGTTCGCAATCGATCTAGAGACGCAGTCGGGGCTAGCAGAATCACAGTAATTGGCATGATTCGGTCGCTTTGACAATTTATTTTCCTGCGCATGAATCCAGGTACAAGAACAAATTCATTAAAGTGAATCTTCCGAAAGTAACTACGAAATTAGAAAAGAAAAAAAAGAAAATAAAAATAAGAGAAGGAAACGGATCCAACTATCAGTAACGAACAAATATATAAAAAGAAAAGAAAAGAAAATAATCTAACTACTAACTGCCCTTACGTGCCAAGAGCCGATCCCCTACTACAGTCCGTGCCAACAAATCGAACTCTAACTAACTCCACCATTGAGGTCGCGGGTTCAAACCCCGTCCGACTGAAACGGGGTGAAGACCAAAGTAGAGTTCCTCATAAAAAGGAACTAGCTCAGAGGTCAAGCATATTCAATCTTCAAGTCCGTTGCTTAACAGTCTGCCTTGAAACCTACTGAGCTAGCTCCTACTTCGGTTAGAAGTGGAGCTGTCCAAGTACACGTAGAGTAATGGGACTCGGTCCTCCTAGTGGCCCGAGCCCAATTCTAAGTCTATGTTATGCACGCTTGTTGGTTTGCGCACCTGTCTGAGTGCTTGCCTGCTTGAGTGTGTGTGTAACCCGCAAGGCACTTAGTTCATCAGAAGGTCCGAAGGCCGGTACTTAGCTGTGACCATGACATTGAGCGTTGCGGCGGGGAAAATACTCAAGTAGCAGGTAGGTCGGTAACATACCAAGTAGAAGTAGATGCGCTAGGTACTCAAGGCCGAGAAAAATAAGACAAAAGTTGACATTTTTAGATGCCCAGAATGGATAGGTAGACAGTATCAACCCAAGTCTCACTGTGTGTCGTAGATCTACCTAACATAACACTAACCCAGTCGACTCCTTGACCTTCTCGGTTGAAGGGTATTACTACTGACTCTAATCATCAGAGAGCACGTCACAATAATGCACACGCATACTTAACGAAATTTTCTCGTCGATCTGCCCCGTTCTCAATGGTCAAGGAAATCGTTTCAAAGTGTCATGCGAAAACGAGTACACTTTTAAGTTCAGACCGACCCGTTATGGCGGTCAGTGCGATCGGTGTGTTGAACGTAAAAACATGGCTAAATACCATCGTAAGGGTATTTGGTCCGACAGCGGGCGCACATACAGAGAGAGAGAGAGAGAGAGAGAGAGAGAGAGAGAGAGAGAGAGAGAGAGAGAGAGAGAGAG